TCTTCACAGAAGCAAAGCCCAAACCACACCCACTGCCTGGAGTCCATTCTGACCCACAGCGCCCCTAGAGGACAGAGTGGAACTGCCCATAGGGTCTCCAAGGCTGTCAGTCTTCACAGAAGCCAAGTGCCTCATCTTTCTCCCATGGAGCAGCTGGTGGGTTTGAACCACTGACCTTTGGGTCAGCAGCTAAATGATTTTAACCACTGCACCACCACAGCTCCTTATCATACATCTGGATATACATGCACAAAATCTAGACGTGTAGAACAAAACACGTATCCAAAAAAGGTTTTTTTATCTGGAATACACAGAAGTCTTAACCTCGGGCACACAAACAATGAGAGTATTATCTGAAGTAACAAAAGATACACAAATAGCCAACAAAACACATGAAAAGATGCCCAACCTCACTGGTTATTCAAACCAAAACCCAAACTCACTGCTGTCGAGTTGGTTCTGACTCACGGCGACCCCTCCTTGGGTTTCCAAGGTGGTACTTCTACAGAGCTAGATTGCCCAATCTGCCTTCCAAGGAGTGGCTGGTGGGTTTGAACTGCTAGTCCTCTGGTTAGCAGTCAAACGCCTTAGGCACTATGCCACCAGAGCTCCTGAAAGCGTCTACAGTCAATAGTCTTTTTAAATTTGGAGAAAATGGGCACAGCAATGAATTATAGCCCCTGGACGGGACTGGCACCCAGGAGTCCTTCTAGGGAGGAAGAGGAGGGACAACAGAGAGGGACATAGGAGCTTCCATAGCTGACGGCCGACTGGGAACCATGCTGAGGGGGCCGAGCCGGACAGTCCCCATTTCACAGCCACCCCAGGGGAGACTGGGCTGCGTGGGAGTCAGTCGAGGGAGGGTGTGTCATAAGAAGAGTTGTACACGCGCGCGGGTGTCAGGTATCGCCCAGGCATCACACAGTGGAGAGACCAGTCAACAGCAACAACAGCCCCTGCCTTACGGGGACAGACACATGGGGACAGCAAACCTCAGCTGAGCCCCGGGCAGGACGCGGCACCACCGCTGTGGTCATCTGCCTGGGACGTGCACCTTAACCTGCTCGTCCGGACACAGCAGACAAACCTGGCCAAGGAACATACTGGAAACAAGCTGACTGTGTAACGGATCACTGCCGTGGACGTGAAGGGCCGCTCTAGACTAAAGGACGCTGAACAGAGGCACAGCAGAGACGGCAGGGAGCGGAGAGAGCAGGCGCTGCTGCGGGCACACTGTCGGGGCAGGGCCGACACAGCGCGTGGACCAGTGACGAGCATCCGTGGGTGTCTGCCACTGTCCGCTGGCCTCCTGCCTGGGAGGCCCGCCCGCCCGCACGGAAGAATGCTCGCTAGCCCTGGCCCATGAGGGCCGAGCCGCCAGGCGCCCTCTCAAACCGGCCAAGGGGAGAATGCTGGCTGCAGCCGCACAGCCAGCGCGGGAAGCCCGGGCCCCGCCCGTCCTGCGCCTTCTCGGTGTGACGTGATTCCAAACCCAGAGAGATTCAAACCACCCAACACTCAGCTGGGGTTCCTTACCCACGGTGCCCCGGGCACGCGGCCCAGGCTGCTCGATTAGGCAGTGGCTCCTGCCTGGGGGGCGCGTGGCTCTACAGATCCAGAGTCGGCCCTGAGCCCCCTCAGCCCGGCCCCGGGGCCGCACCGTCCGGGGGCACAGGTTCTGATGCCCACGGCCCCCCCTGAGCCCGGCCCCGGGGCCTCACCGTCCGGGGGGACAGGTTCTGATGCCCACGGCCCCCCCTGAGCCCGGCCCCGGGGCCTCACCGTCCGGGGGGACAGGTTCTGATGCCCACGGCCCCCCCTGAGCCCGGCCCCGGGGCCTCACCGCCTGGTGCTCCCCGAGCTGCAGAAAGTGCTCCACCAAGAAGGCGTGGACGTCCCCGACGCGGACGGCGCTGTCCAGGCCCGGCTCCTCCAGCAGCAGCTCGCACTGCCGCACGGCCTCCTTAGGGTCCTCGGGGTACGTCCTGTGGACAGACATGCCAGGCCTGCACCCCGAAGCCCAGTTGCTTCCTGCCTGAGGGCTCCTGACCCTGGGAGGGGGGGCTGTTGGAGCCGGTGGGGTGGGTTGTGAAGGAAATGCCACGAACTGGCCACCTTCTTTCACTGGGTCACTGCTGAACCCTCACTGTTGGGTTCCCAACACATGTCTGAGCACAGCTGGGCCCAGGGCACAGTGGGGGGTAGGCTGCCAAGATGGGTGGGTAGGGTGTGAGCAGAGAGGTGTTTTGGGGAAGGGCAGACCCCAGGGATGGCCAGCAGAGCGGGAGTCTGGAGCTGGGGGTGGGGAGGTGTTGGAGACCCTTGGGGGCTGATGGAGACGGCTGGGGGGACGGCAGGAGGCGTGCACCACTGGTGAGGACGGGCTCCAGCAGGGCGTGGTGACGGGGGTGGGGGATGTGGGGGAGACGACGGGACACAACGACTTGGAAAGGGACCAGGACCAGGGCGGGCCGGTGAGCAGAGGTGGGCAGTCTAGGGCAGGAAGCTGAGAAGGAGCAAAGAGGGATCACAGCACGGCTCCTAAACACGGGCCCCCGCGCTCACCTGACCAGGTGTGCGGTTCCTAGGTTTCTCCCTACAGCCAAGCCTTCCCAAGCCCGCCCGGCCGCTTCCAGCCCCGCTCCACCCTCGGCTCCGCCCACACCCCAGCCCACCTCCCCCGGCCCCGCCCCCGGCCGAGGAAGTCTCTCGGTGGACCCACCCCGGCCCCGCCCCCGGCCCCGCCCAAAGAAGTCTCTCGGTGGGTGGGTTCGGGTGGCCTCTCCGACTACGCTCCAGTGAGAGCCCAGGGCCCAGGCCCACTCTCTGAGGAGTCCCCCAGCGGCGCTCCGCCAGGGTCCGCGGTGGCCCCAGCTCCGACGCACCTACGGGCCTGGATGAACCTCCTCACCAGCGCCATCTTGGCCTGCAGCTGGGCCAGCTGGGCCTCCTGGTCCAGGGGGCTTGCGGCCTTGGCCTTGGACAGGCACTTGTAGGCCTCGGTCAGCGCCCCGTGGGCCTTGTCATAGTTCTGGTATTCGTCGATCTCCACCTGTGCACACAGGGCCCTCAGAACCACGCCCCTCCACAGTCCCCAGGACACACGGGGGTCCCCACCTCCCTCCATGACCCCTGGGCCCCCAGGACCTTGTGGGGCTCCCCGCCTCCCTCTATCCCTCCAGGGACCCCCAGGACCTCACGGGGCTCCACACCTCCTTCCACGTCCCTGGGGCCCTGAGGCCAGGACCTCGTGCGGCTCCGTGCCCCCCAGAAGTGCCCAGGCCCTGCAGGTCTGTGTGGCGGCGGTACCTGGGCGCAGGCGGCGTAGAAGGCGGCCAGCAGGTCTAGGGCACGGCCCTTGGTGTAGAAGCTGATGATGCCCCTCATGATATCTGGCTCCTTCCGCCAGTCCAGCGACTGCAGGTAGTTGGCTGCCATGATGTAGACTTCCTTCTGGCGGGACACGCCCGCAAAGAACATGATCTTCTCCGTGTCCCCCGACTTGAGCAGGGCCCTCATGGCCTGCACAGGGAGCGTGAGCTGCTCAGGGCCTGGCTGGAGCAGCCACAGGGCGCGGGTCCCTGCTAGGAGGCACCCGAAAAACTCCCACTGCCCAATGGGATAGGAGCAGATAGGAGCCAAAGCTGGTGTCCAGGTGACCAGGAGAACAAGGGCCCAGCTCCCATAGAGCCCCTGGCACCTGTGGCACCCACCTTCAGCTGGACGGCCGCCCCTGGCACCTGTGGCACCCACCTTCAGCTGGACGGCCGCCCCTGGCACCTGTGGCACCCACCTTCACCTGGACGGCCGCCCCTGGCACCTGTGGCGCCCACCTTCAGCTGGCCAGCAGCCCACAGCCCCTGCGGGGCCACCTTCAGCTTGTCCCCGGCCCCCGGCCCCCGCGGCGCCCACCTTCAGCTTGTCCCCGGCCTGCGTGTACTTCTTGGTGGCCAGGTGGTAGCTGCCCTGGCGCATGCAGCAGGCGGCAATCTGCTCCAACAGCTCCCGGCGCGCGGCCTCCGACAGCTCCGTGGAGTCTTTGGGGACGGTCATCTTGTCGGCCATCTCTTCGGTGATTGTCATGTTCTGCTCCAGGCAAAGCTCCAGGGCCTCCTGGTACTGTGGGGCAGGACCGCCGCAGGCTAGGACTGGGGGGCCGTGGCCCCTACCCCCGTCCCCCGACATCAGACCCGGCCTCGGGGGTGGCTCTCCCTGAGCAGAGGGGCGGGGGACAGATTCCCCCTTGGCTGTGGGAGGGGAGGGGCAGCGGCCCAGTTTCCCTGCGTGTCAAACCACTCTCTCAGCCGGGGCTCTTTGTGCTGGCACCTTCTTGGCAGCCAGGAGCAGCTCCACGGCCTTCTCGTACTGGCCGTGCTCAATGAAGAAGTCCGAGCAGCGGGCCAGCAGTGCAGGATCTGAGTTCTCGTCCAAGTCCTCAGCAATGAGCTGCAGGGCCACAAACTGCTGGGTGACGAAGGCCAGCTCCAGGGCCTTGGAGAGGTGACCGGCCTGTGGACACAGCTGGGTCTGAGTGCTTTGGTCTCAGGCTGCAGGCCCGCCGCGCCGTCCCCAGGGCTGGCACAAGGCTGGCTGCAGGCCCGCCGCGCCGTCCCCAGGGCTGGCACAAGGCTGGCAGCAGCCAGCACCCACCTTGTGGTACAGCAGGACCGCCCGGTCCATCTGCTCCCCCTTCCCCTCGTAGTAGCGTGCTGCCTCGGTCATGTCCTCTGAGGAGCTCAGCAGGGCCAGGTTCATGAGCTGCTCATCCAGGCCGTTCTCCTGCAGGGGCAGACACGTGCGAGCCTGTGACCACCACGCTGGGCGGGGGGTGGTGGTGGCATGCCTGGGGCCACACTCAGAAGGACCTGCAATTGTTCTGTTGGAACACAGCAAGAGACGTCTGCCCCAAGGCTAGACTGGGCCAGGATATTTGTAGGAGTTCTGGTGCACACTAAAGGAGCTCTGGTGACACAGTGGTTAAAGCACTCAGCTGAAAAACCAGTGGTTCGAACCCACCAGCCACCCCGTGGGAGGAACATGAGGCAGTCGGCCTGCATAAAGATTCCAGCCTTGGAGATCTTGGGGCAGTTCCACTCTGTCCTCTAGGGGCGCTGTGGGTCAGAATGGACTCCACGGTAGTGGGTGTGGCTTGGGCTTTGCTTTGTGAAGATTGACAGCCTGGGAGACCCTGTGGGCAGTTCCACTCTGTCCTCTAGGGGCGCTGTGGGTCAGAATGGACTCCAC